TTCTGCTAGGTATTTGCGATGAAAATTTGAACGAAATACCTGTTTGACGAAGACTAGTTAAGTACCTATAGACCAGACTTAAAGCTCTTACGTAGTACCTTTAAACTTTAAACGAAAATTAATTCGAAGATCTGCAGAACAACTCATTTGCCACAATTTGAAACTTCGTCGTGGCCTAAATGGAAGTAATTCCTGAACATATGCATATATTGTTAGACATTTTACTTACTACCGCGAATCCGCGTATCGTTACCGCGTACAAGTACTTACTTACTATATCCTTACCACACGATTTTTACACGATTGTGTGTTCGCCTTCTGTCATAACAAGGATGTGTAAATAATTGCATACTAAATCAAGATATTAAACATAATCGGTTTATACATTTTAATTATACATATTTGTCTACTATATTTATTTATTTATTTATTATCTATATAAGTAATGTTTTATTATATTTATGTAATCTAATTTTTTATTTAATCAGTCCTCTTTTTATATGTATTTCAGGCCGCCACACCACATTTTTTAGTTAGTTTTGTTAGTTATTTGAAATATTAAGCACTTACTAAAACAAAAAATTGGGACAAGAACCAGTTAAATAATATTTTTTATAGTTGTTTCAGTGCTTCCAAATAATATATTTCAACTAATAGTTATTGTGTGCTCGGGTAGAGGGAGAAGAGGTAGACCGAAGAAGACATGGATGGAGTGTGTGAATGACGATATGACAGAGAGAGGAGTGAGTGTTGAGATGACGGCTGATAGAAGAGAATGGAAGAGAAAAATTCGCTGTGCCGACCCCACCTTATTGGGATAAGTTGAAGAAAAAGAAGAATAATTATCGTGTACTAAGCACTGATGTTGATAACACACTAATATACCTATATGTATATTGACAAAATTGTCATATTACGTCAAGATTCCGTGTTAGTAAACATAATGTTAATTTATTATATCAAAATATTATACATTAAAGTATCTAAAGTGCCTGAAGCGTTTCAACACCGATCCCTTTAAGAACAAAGCACTTCTAACAACAACTTATTAATTAAACATCAACAAAGTGTTAGGAGCACGATGGAAATTGACAAAACCACACAATTTTGGAGCTTACATTATGAACAGGGTTCCGTGAAAGAAAATATTGTTGGCTGAGAAAACCCTGATATCGTAACTGTGACACTTCAAACGTGGTATATAAATGTGTAGCTACTGTTGGCTACGTTCTCAAAGCAGGGTTGCCAACATAAAAAATATTTGCAGTTTTCTTAACTCAAAATTGAATTTGGTAATGTTCATTTATGTCGTTCTATGTATTATATTTTCATAAGTAACGTAAAATTAAAAACAGTTTTTAGTTAGAAATAAAAAGACTTTTAGCCTACTGAGTTTCTCGCCGGATCTTCTCAGTGGGCCCCAATTCCGATTCGGTGGTAGATTCTGCGAAGTACTGCTCTTGCTAGGGCTAGTGTTAGCAAATTCTCTCAGGTTGAGCCCGTGAGCTCACCTACCCGTTCACGCGTAGCTGGAATAGCCCCTTAGGCTACCAGTGAATAGGTAGGATTTTTTTTTTTTTTTTTTTTAAATTGACTTAGCCGTTCAACCGAGCTTACGGCGTACTCAATGTTAGGTAGTTACCGGCTAATAGATACTAAGACGTGAATGCTTTCAAAACGATAATCGGAAGGGTGGTCCAGGTCTTACCAACCGCTAGTCTACCAGTAAAAATATATCTAAAATGTTTCCTACAAAAATAATAGAATAACTGAGAAACGAATTAAGAAAAAAAAACCAATTATTTTAGTGCAATACAGTGAATTAAATACAATTAAAATTATTTTTTTTCTTACCATAAAATCATTAGTTTCCAAACGCGTTGTTTCGGTAAGAACTCAGAAAAATGATTAAACAAAAATCATTATTCTTTTGCAAATTCACGTGACGTGATTTTATGAGAACATATTGTATTCTATTTTAACTCAAGATGGACAGCCCTCGCGGGGAAGTTTTCGCAATAACCACAAAACAAGGTGAGGAGCGTGAAATACGCTTTTTACGACTTTTACACCATTTCCTGTCGCGACAATATTATTTTACTTGTGATCCCTTCAGCGTATACACTAAAATCTTGCCACAACTCCTCGTATACTTAATACAAACAACCACAAACACAAATGTGGAAGTAGCCATCATAGAATACAAGATATTTGAGAGATGCCCGAATTTTCAAAATAAGCTTGCATATATGCATGCGGAAAAGGTGCACATCCCTGATTCGCGGGGTCCGGTTCAGCCCTAACAGCAAGCATCCTGAAGGCATTAACAGACCGTTATGACTGTCGGTACTTGAACCATTGTACCATGGTTCACTTGCGGACTAAATAATAATAATAATAATGGTTGGTTCGAAGTAAGTATCAGTTAAATGGAATATTTGAAATGTATTTAACTGATAATTGTTTTTAATAAATGTATCTTTTTTATTTGATTGGTTTTGTTAATTTTAAGTATGTTTCAATGATACTATGTACACATATGGACTTGTTGTTGTCTGAAATAAAATAAATCATTCATTCATTCATTCATATATACGAGTTCCACACAACATTTGGAGTTCCGTACAACATTTGGGCCGTCGGTCTACTGAGTAGTATCACCCGCTCGGTGGAAGATCTTGCCTTGTCGTTACTACCAAACACGCATACTTTTTTTAAGGGTAGGCAGCAGGTTGGCTCTGCCCCTGTCAATGCTGACGTCCATGGGCGACGGTGACCACCCACCATTGGGTGAGCCGTGTGCTCGCCTGCCTACAAGGGCAAAAAAAAAACATGCCATCCATTTCTAAAAACTCACCACAAGTATATTTTTTTGGTCGGTCCAGTTAAGTTAGGCTGCTGATTACTGTATCACGTCCATGGCTCATGTTTCACAGCGTCTTAATAAAATTTATTTAGTATTCCGAGTGCAAATGTACGGGCTCTTCGGAAGACTTGTCCTTGAAATCCTAGTTTAGTGTTCGGAATAGGAATAGTATTTTTTGTTGTAATTGAGACATCGACCGTGTGTCTCTTCACGAAACAGGTTACAGTGGGACATAAATTTGTTCAACACCACGTGGTAGAGCGGTAGTGAACACACGAAATCCCATAATCGTCTAGGAATTTAGTCTTTGTATTCCTGTGCCTTAATGGTCAATACAATGAGGTCATTTGACAGACTTGCCAGAGTTCACACCGTCCGTTTCTGTTATGTGGTTATCGTAGTCCATCGTATCCGTAGTCTGACTGAGAAGAAGAAGATATAACAATGCAAAGACAGCCACTGGTGGTAGGACCTCTTGGGAATCCGCACGGGTAGGTACCACCACCCCGCCTATTTCCGCTGTGAAGCAGTAATGCGTTTCGGTTCGAAGGGTGGGGTAGCCGTTGTAACTATACTGAGACCTTAGAACTTATATCTCGAGGTGGGTGGCGCATTTACGTTGTAGATGTCTATGGGCTCCAGTAACCACTTAACATCAGGTGGGCTGTGAGCTCGTCCATCAATCTAAGCAATAAAAAAAAAAAAAAAAAAAAGCCATCCAAGTTAAAAAGTGGGGTCGAACTGCGGAGGGGTACCCTAACCGGGAAAAAACGTCCGTAACGTAAGATTTTTATTATTTATGTATAGTCTTAGTATGATGGCTATACAGTGTCTAAGGTATGATGACGGTTATTATTATTACTCATATAAATAGCTGTTTCTTTGTATATTATTATTATATATTTTTTATAAATCATTGTGTATAAAATGAAGTTGATAACTTTGTAAAGTCCTTTTTTTATCAATAAAAAAAATCATAATAAAAAATGTATACCCAACTAATTATTTTCTTTATACCTCGAATTGAACTTAAAATTAATATTTTTATAATAAGGAACTTCGTTCCTATCCGATGTCCCACGACACCACACAATCCTTCTTTTTTTTAGGAAGGAAAGATTACTGTCGAAAGCATTTCTAGTTTCACCGGGACAGATGGGTGGGTAAAGGCTCAGTTTGGAAGTGTGGGATTTGCTAACAGCTGCCCAAGCGCCTCTGCGCTTAGCGAACGCATTCACTACCGGATGATCTGTTTTTTTTTAATTGCTTAGATGAGTGGACGAGCTCACAGCCCACCCGGTGATAAGTGGTTACCGGAGTCTATAGACATCTACAACGTAAATGCGCCACCCACCTTGAGATATAAGTTATAAGGCCTCTCAGTATAGTTACAACGGCTGCCTTACCCTTCAGACCGAAACGCAATGCTGCTTCACGGTAGAAATAGACAGGGCGGTGGTGCCTACCCGTGCGGACTCACAAGAGGTCCTACCACCAATAAAACCGGTGACGGCTTTCAAATCAAAACGCATGACTGCGTCGCGGCGTAAACATGCAGAACGGAGGTAACTACTCGCGCGTGCTTACAATAAGTCCTAATCCTATAACTAGTAATTATGAAGTTTTATCATAACTTTAAATCATATCTTTATTACATAATCATGTTTCTTTATCGCGTAAATCTTTCGTAAACAAGAAAAATGGGTAGTCGCCTGCGGTATTTGAACACGGGTAAGGTCGTATCGCTTGATACAAGTATATTAGTCGTTTTATCCTTAAGACCATCATGGCATCAAACCTACGTCCATTCTAATATCATTTTGTTTGTTTAAATAATTCCGTTACGTATAATATACTTAGAATTAGCAAGTAGTTTTTGATGTTAAGAAGTTAAGTTTTGAACACCATCGAGATTACGAAATACAATCTTATGTTTGAGAGAATAACGGATAATAGTTATTATGTTATTTTAATCTAACAAAGACTAAACGTCACCTTGAAGATGCAAAAATCTAGAAAGATAAATAATTTACTATTAACCAACAACGTGCATTATATTATGTATGTTGCATTATTAAATTTAAAATTCTACCATTTTCTACCATGCTTCAAATAAATATTCACATTTAATTACCTTCGTTCAACATTCCGTCTGCTTTATACCTGGAACAGAAATATTATTTATTCAAGCAAATAAATGTTGTTAAAATACAATCGCCATTTTGTTTTGTTGTTTCTTCAAAGTCGGGAAATGTTGAAAAACAAATAAAGTGACCCGCGACGCAGAGAATTTCTTCAAACTATGATCTCATTTAAAGTTTAGGGGAAACAGGCAAAAATCGTCATTTTATTTGTGATTTAGATCACTGTTATGGTACTACTAAAATGTACTACAGTGTACTACTATGGTACTACAGTAAAATCTAATATTTGTTTCATGGTTTAGTTTACTTCTTTGTTTTTTCGTAGACAAACAAACATACGACTGAGTCGTGAGCATCTAAGCCATAAAAAAAAGAAGAAAAAAAAAGAAGTTTTAGATGTTTTCCTTAGAAAGCGGTTTTGGGTTTGATCGATACTTAGGCTTTTATTTGGAAATATAGCTACTATTCAAATACGAGCTATTTCGTTTATGCTTATTAACTGATTGACGCCCTAACCAATATTTCTGAACAAGGAATTCGAATAAAAAGAACACTGGAAAATTATGAGATAAAAATTATATTATCGTCCTGTGATCTCAAAGCGAAAGCAGCGCTTCAAATTGAGATGCAAATTCGTCGTCTAGTGCCGCGCAAGTGGATCGGGGGCGTGAAGTGGATGGCGAGAGGGAATGCAGCGCTTTGTGCAGCCTGTTTACACAACAGGGTTACGGTGTATTTTTTGCGAAATTCAAATATATTTTGGAATATAGAAAATACGGAGAATTCGTATGTATTGTATAAGGGAGAATTTTTAGATCGGTGATAACGAAAATATAAACTATATCGAACAGCACACACGGATCCAATATTAACAGCGGGGTGTACGTATCAATTAAAAACAAAACGGGGAGCTATGAAAAGTAAAATATGCAGAATAATATCAAACACACATTCAATAAGGGTAAAATCATTTTTTTAAGCTATTGCATAGCGCGCGGCGACTGAATCAAGAAATTCCGTAACGAAAATAACCTGACACCCCCACTACGCCTACGATGTAGCACTCGTTCAACACATTCACACGTTGTGCTTGTGTAATGTTTGTGAATAAGCGCGTGGCGTAACGTGCGCATCATGAAAAGTCTGCCCATCTCTCTCTCGCGCGGTCTAGCTTATGAGTGTTAAGGGGACAGTTAATGTTTAATATAGCGTGGTCTTGTTTTATTATTGTTTTAATATTAAATTATCATTGTCTAATTATAATTGCATAAGTTGATAAAAAATGCTATGCAATAGCTTTACCGCGGCAGTTCCCGAGTGCCACACGTTTTTTTTTTTTCGGGGTGGGGGTCGAACCTCCTACGAGGTCCACGCGCCTAGGAGGCATGCGAGGTATGTCGGATTTGACGATCTGCAGATGTTGGTTATAGGTAAAATCCTTACCTAACCTAACCAATGAAGGAGCCATTGACTACTAAGCCCAAAAAAGATCTAGACTACCTGAGTTCGAAAATCATGGTACAGCCTACGTCACAAAAAACATAACAATACATAAAATATTTGGGAGCCTCTGATTTAAGCTGTTTCTGGAAGTTATATTAATGCTTAGTTTAAAGTAACATTGACCACTATTTTGGAATTCATAATATGCGAGTAACATTAAAGTACAATAACCCATACCTTCTCGACAGTTTAAAAATGTACAACATCATTATGTTATTAATAAATATATCTATCCGATATTTCGAAAGATATAAATCAATTTAATTAAAGAAGATCAAGAATGAAATTTCAGAAAAAAGTTCACTGTATCGAAATTTCAGTGATGTAATTATTTCGCGGCGACTCCAACAGAATCGATTCAGAATCATCCGAGAGATCCAGGGTAATGAAACGTGACCGATTAACTGCGGATTACAGTCCTTTGAGATTAGAATGAAAAAAAAAAGACCCAGAATGTTCTAATTTACGTTGTTCCAATCAAGGGACACGTATTTTTTCATGTTCTCCGAGTGTAGGTAATTTTTATTTGATTTTTTATTGCTACATTGTATGGACGAGCTAACACCCCACCTGGTGGCCACCGGAGCCTATACACATTAATTACTTGGAAACATGAAGCTTAAGTCTTAGTTTTTACAGTACAACAACCACCCCGTTTAAGTCGAAACGCATTACTGATTCACGACAAAAAAGACATAGTGGTGGTCCCTACTCGTACGGACTCACAAGATGCGCAGCGGGGGGGTATTCCGGAACACAGACGTGACGGGCTGCGGTACTGTGACGGCTAGCGTAGAGTAGTTAACTTTCGCCTCGAACCCCCAGGCCGGGGGTCCTTAGGGTAGTGTTGACCAGTAGGGTAGTGTTGGCAGTCCCTCTACTACTCCCTGGCTACTTTTAACGGTACTTTTAAATCAGGGTTAATTATTCATACCATAATAACAAATATAGTTAATTTGAAAACATTCTAAAAATATGTAGAATTCAAACAATTCGAGTTGTCGATAGTGAAAACTTTTAAAGTAATCCAAACATCGGACATTAAAGAAATATATGATAATAAAAGCTAGATTGAACCATTATAATATATATATGTGCAAAAAACTAAGAATCCTACAAAACAATCCTATTGGGAACCATCCATTATTATCAATTTAACCTTTCCGGCGTTATTGCTGCGGAAAATCAAATGGACGCGCGGGGGTTCGTTCTTCAATTTTATACATAGTATTGTTGTCTTTTTCTTCTTCCTAGTCGGTTTCGCTCTTGATAGAATGGCCGTGGTCATCACTTCAAGCGTTAGTGGCAAGCCGCACATCACTACCCCTCTTAGACGGCTGCCCTCCTCGTGTATACATACGTGTAATGACAAGTCATTTCGGATCCTCCCGATCCACTAACGGTGCTTTTATGTACCTCAAGCACCGGTCATCGTTCTCGTTGAACCCGTTGCTTGCGACGAACTCCAGACACAGCGCACTGAGTTTTTCGCCGGATCTTCTCACTTTCCAATCCGGTGGTAGATTCTACGAAGCACTGCTCGTGCTAGGATTAGTGTTAGCAACGTCGTCGTCGTCAGCTTTGTGCCCCGTGAGCTCACCTACTTGTCAGGTTACGCTGACATAGCCTCTCAAGGCTATCAGCTTAAGCACGGAAAAAAAGTGTAATGATGATAAGTTAAGTGAAGTCGCAATGACAACTTTATGCACATTTAACATAGCTGTCTGTGAGACGTAGATCTTTTTTATTGCTTAGATATGTGTACGAGCTCACGGCGCACATGATGTTAAGCGGTTACCGGAGCCCTTAAACACCTACAACGTAAATTGTTATCTAACCTAGATTTCAGCGGCTACACTTTTGAAATATTTCACTTGAAACAGTAACAAATCAAAATCGACCGGCCTAAAATAAATCCGATATTTCATCACAGAGTAGGTATACGCGCCGCTGTAAAAAACTAAACAGAAATAACAAATAGTTGTATCGGAACAGTTGTTCGTGTTTCCGCGTCCCGCCCGAGAGCACTAAACAATTCAACTCACACTAAGTCTTGATATTCAGATTTCTTTTGTTCCGTTGAACGAATGCCATTCGGTTCTCGAGTATCATTGGTAAAGATTATTCCGCTGAATTGTTTTCTTAGGGATGTTGCGGTTAAAGGAGCATGTTTACTTTAACATTGTAGGAACTTGTTATTAATACTGAGATAACATTTTGCGAGCATAGTTCTCGGTGTGGATTCGATTTTAAAATGTCATTTTTTCGTTTTTGTCCTCTCTCTCTCTCTCTTCGATCGGTCCCTCACTCCTGAGGATCGTGACTCCGCCAAATTCCGTCAACCAGCTGTCTCCATCGATCCCGTTTTGTAGCTTGGTGGAGTGCGTCGCTGACCGGTATCCCCAATTCCTCCGCTATTTCAAATCAAATCAAATCAAATCAAAAAAGTTTTATTCAACATAAATGAAAGTACATACTTGTTGAACGTCAAAAGAACTACCGCCAATTCACAAGAATTAGCCTCCGTCCTGAGAAGAATTGGCAAGAAACTCAGCGGGCATGTCTTTTTTTTTTTTTTTAATATTAGTTTTTTTAAATATTCATTTTTACCGACATACTTGGTCCGACCATCGTTTGGGACCTCTACCCCTAGGCCTTTTTTCCCCTATTTTAACGGTCACCACAAGGCGTTCTAAACTGCTGGTATCCCTGCGTGCAACATTACCAAAATACCGCAATATTCTTTGTAGGCAGATTGTGGAAAGACGTTGAGTCTTTTCTATTTTTAACTGCCTGAGAATAGAGATGTAGGTGCGGCGGGCCGTCCATGGTATTCGTAGCATACGTCGCCAGCGCCACATCTCAAAAGCGTCGATTCTCTGCCTACCTGCGGCTTTGAGTGTCCACGTCTCTGCACTGTATAGAGCAATGGAGAAGACAAGGATGCGGACCAGATGTATTTTAGTCTGGTGGATAATATTACAGTCTCTCCAAATTTTGCAAAGTTGGGTGATTGCAGGTCATTCGTTTTGGTCCAATGTCCGAAAAAAATCTTTAGACATTGTTATCGTATGATGTTCTGCACACATAATCTTGAATATAATTTTAAGAGCGAATGTAACACGGTAATTTTAATTACATTAACCACTACAAGTTTTTCATTTACCTACAGCCAATCGTAACAGTGGCGGCAGACATAAAACACAAGATATTTGACAAATGCCTGAATCTCTCTTACCACATTTTCAAGATAAGCTTGCGTATATACAAATTCCGAACAACAACATTCGGACCGTCGGTCTACCGAGCAATATCACTCGCTCGCTGGAAGATCTTCCTACGATATACCTACAAAAAAAAACAATCGACACGAGTTGTATCAGAGCTTCTAACTCGTCCACATGAATTCATTTCATCCGGAGCACCCATGGGCGTGCTGATAAAAAAGGTCTAGACGATCGTAAACATGAACGAATCGATCGAAATCACCGACCTCCCTCGAACGGGCGCCTTAAG